TGTGTGAATGTGTGAAAGAGAGACTTTCAGACTCCAATTCTATCTTCTCTTAAGCTCACTAGTAAGGAAGCATTTTGTGAGGGCAGGGCTAAAATTCCAAGTATGTTTTCTCTGAAAAAAATCTGACCAACTCCCAGAAAAGGTGAGGCCTAGCTCAGTCTTCAACTGATTCAGTGCTTTGCGGTTTTAGAAAAAGGGCACAGTTCACTGATGAAATAAAGAGAAACACCACAATGAACTCACAGGTAGTACTGGGGAATGTTTTAATAACTTCTGCTAGGACACTGAGGAGTGGTAAAACTGGTATGTTACTCTAAAAGTGCTTAAGCAGGGAAGCTTAAGCCATGGAAAATCAAGGTCATACATTTGGATGGACAAAGTGAGGAAATTGATATTCTGTCACACTCCTGTGTGAGCTATTTATGGAATACTGTACATGTAAGATTGCTATGTAAGTTTATTAATGCTGCTGAAACTGTACCAATTTCATTATGTACTGAATAAATTAATGCAGCAATTGAAACATTGTAGCCATTTTTCTTTAAATTTAATACATGGAACATTTACGCAGGATAACATTTTAGAAATATCTAAAATTTACGGGAGTGCTTTGAGACCTCAGTAGGGATCAGGACTTCTTACTGTCATAATTTGAACTGTTTGTTTCTAGTTTTATGTAGATTAAAGGCAGTTTCCAGTACTATTGTAAAATTAAACTTTTCATGATAAAATAAATATTAAATTAAAATACCAGAGGACAGCAGATGAACAACAGGTCAAGACTCAAATAGAAATCAATATAACAACATAAAAGACAAGGCCTTAGCAAGAAGCAGAAAGTCAGCAGAAAGAAACAAAACCAATATCTCTAGAAAAACGTCTACAATTTTTGTGCTGGTTTCAGAAAACACATTTCCCTCTCCTACTGCTAGATGGTCCTCAGCTGCTGGGACAGAAAAAAAAGCCTTACAGAACTTAATTAAGGTTCTTAAAAGTCCTAATCTTAAACTAATTCACCCTAGGAAAAGACTAGAAACCAATGCTGTTGTTTTAATAAGATTATCACATATGCTGGCCTCAGTATACACTTTGGCTGCTATATTTTGGCCACTGTTCAAAACCAGCCCTACATAGAAAACCTTAAAGAAATTAAATAAATAAATAAATAAATAATCAAACCTATTATAACTAACGTATATGTTACCGTGGCTAGATCTGATCTTTCCAGGAACAGATGCATTAGACAGCTGAACAAACATAATCCTGGCCAACTTAGCATCTAGGGGCAAAGTCAGATCATGGTTGTGAGGCAGAATCTTCAAATGAAGCGCTATTATACTAACGATAAGCTAAATTCTTATTTCCAGGTCAGCAAGGCTACTAGAGAAGAACCCCTGCCTTGTATGGATTAAATTTTGATTTTTCCAGCCTCCATTCAAACTATTAACATTCCTTTGATTCAGTCTCTTTGGACACAGATGGAAGAGATACATAGTTGGGCATTATCCATGTTTTGATTTCTCATTCTAAAACCCCTTCTTTCAGTTATTTCAAGAAAGATATTAAAGAGTTTAGTGAAAAAGAGTCTTGCGAAATACCACAGAATAATCGAAGTGCTGAAACTGTTCCCTTACTACCTTCTGATTAGCCCATGAAAACCCTTTTGCTGGTCATCTATATGACCAATATTCCTTGCCCCTAGGAATAACCAAAGCCACTTGAGTAAATGCCAGCAACTTAGAAAACACTGAAAACAGGCAGAACCAACAGATACACTCAATCTGTCCAGTTTCTGAAACAGTTAATTCATCATGGCAGTTACTATAAAACTCACATTCAATGAGAATATTCTAAGCCAGTCCTCAAAGAGCTTAACTTGCACTCAGGCCAATTCCTTAAACACCTGGTATCTGAAGAACTACTGCTTCTGCTGCATGAAGTAGTTCATGTGTTAAGACCTTATTTAGTAACTTCCCAACAGTGCACAAGTATGCAAGATCTGATGCTTGGCTTCCTCAAAATAACTTCTTGGTAGTAGGGCCCAAATTATGAACAAAACATACCTGATTAGATTTAGGAAATATTTTAAAATACCTTTTTTCAGTATCTGGCAAAATTCACTCGATCTTTTCAAGTTTTCAGTTGTATCTGACTGGTTTCAAGATTGATTTTTGAGCTATTGTACATGTTGTAATTTGTATGCTGATTTTATTATTTATCAATTAAAATATTCTGATACTGTTTCTTATTCAATTGTTTCTAATAATCAAGTTTTTTCTGTTTGTAGTAATTCTTGTTAGCTGATTTGAGACTTGAGTGGGAAATAAATATAAATATAAATAAAATATTTCAATATAAATAAACTAAAAAATAAAGGACCATGGTCAGCAATAGGAACACTATTACAGTATCTAAAATAATGGGAAAAACAAGGAATTGAATTAAATGTATTAATTTCATGAAGACAGAGATTCTAATTATAAAAATAGTAAGGTTATATACCATTAAAGCTATATATTTGTCACAAAAGGCTGGAATTGGCCAATAAATGTATTTCAGTGAAGAACAAATAATGAAAAAGGATATCAATTATGCTTTGTTAAACATATAAGAAGTAGTTTCTAATTTAGCTGCTTCAAATAAATCATTTTGTATGATCTGGATTCAATAATGAGAAAACAATTCTGAGCTGCTGTTTTAAAAAAAGTGTTAATTCTAGCTACATAAAGGGAGAGAAATTTCTTTGGAAAGGGGCCATGATGAAGAATGTTTGATACCAAGGGTTTCCTGTAAAGTTTGGTGGATGTATTGGTTGAAGGCTTTAAATGTTCACATATTTTCAAGGGTAGAAAACAGAAAACTCCATTACTGCATTTATCAGCTGCACTGAATTTACTGGAGAGGAAAATGTTAATGCTGTCTGAATCCCCACAGCAATGGGGAAATAAACACCCACACTTGGAGTATTGTGTAGAGTACTGGCAACTGCACCTTAGAATGACATTGTACAGAATGAAAAGACACAAAAAATGACAACCATGGAGCCCTTTCTCTACAGGGAAAGACCATCACAATTGTGTCTATTTAGCTTGGAATGAAGGAGGGGAAGGTGAGACATGATAGAGGTATCATGAATGGCACAGATAACATGGAGAGAAAGCAAAGTTAGAACTAGAGGAATTTAATTCATTGAAATTAAATGCAGGCAAATTCATTCAGACTTAGTTAAACCTATAGAATCTGTGTCAGCAGTTATGATAATGGCAGCCAATTTGGATGGGTTTAGAAAGGGTCTTGACAAGTTCATGGAGGACCAGGCTATCAATAATTACTAATATTTATGTATCGACTCCTACCTTCTGAATCATAGCATGCCTTAAATACTGTCTTCTGGGAAGGGTGCTAATGCCCTCCAGTCCAGGCTTATAAGCTTCCCCAATACATCTAATTCTCAAATACATCTAATCTAAGGATAACTGGTGGTGGAACAGCGTTGGAGACTTGTGGAATGCCCCCACCCCAAATCCACATGCAGTCCACCAATTTTAGATGGACGATTGGGCCGTTGGGCCCAACTGGAGTATTTGTGTATGAAATCTTTAGTTAACTGGATTGTTTTGGGTTAAAAATATAATAGATTTGCTGTATCTCCTGTGGAAACCATGATTGATCCAAAAACTGTGGTATATTATTTCTGGCATGTTGATAATTTTTTCTCATGCTAAATGGGGTAAACTAGGTCTCAAATTTGATAAAAATGGTTCTATGGAAAGATGGAGGGTGAGATCTTTACATCAGATCAACTAACGGATGATAATGATGAGTTCTTATTATTTCTTGTGTTTAAAGATAAATAATATTTGTCAGTTTCCACCCACTCGCAATATTTACAATTACAGCATTTATTGATATCAGTAGCATTTTCAGCCTCAAAAACACTTATGCTATTAGAAGGGATCATTATATCCTACGAGACCAAAAGGCCTGCAATCAATCCCTATAAATATCTGTTATCCATTTGATACGCAAACAGTAAAGACTGAGTGGAATAAGGAAGTAGAGACACCCATTTTGCCTAAACAATGGGAAAATGTTTTAATTTTAATACCAAATTAGACTGCAGCTTATACAACTAAAAATAATATTTTGGACTTATTGGATCCCATTGCATTTGTACAGAAAAGGAGTAAGTAAATTATTGGTTTACTGGAGATGCAACCATAATAATACTTCATTAAAACATGTTTTTGCAATGTCCTAAATTTGTTATGTTCTGTGAAAAAGTTATTATATTTATTTATTTGATTTTGAAACAAATATTTTTGGATGCATACATTCTTTTGAACTACATACTTGCTGCACAGAAATTGACAGCTGGCAACGGAAATGGATTCTCCATGCCCTTATTATTGCCATTCTTCAACAATGGACAAATTTATGGACCAAATTACACAGTAGACAACCTGATATTACTTACTTCTTATGAACGAGTTGCCTATAGACGTAGATTATGCATGGATAATTACAATAAAATATAGTTATCTTTTATTGAAATTGTTCTGTAAAAAACTCCATGTATGTATATGTATATGTGTGTGTATGTATGTATATATATATATGTATATATATATACATACACACACACATCTATATATGCATGAGAAGCTGTTCTATATAAAATTTTTGTTGTAATTGCATCTTATTCCCTCTTTTTCTTTTTTGACTATTTTTAATATATTGTTTCTTTTTTTCCTCTCTTCTCTGTTCTGCTTTATTAAATAAATGACGCAAAACAAATAAATAAATCCCCTTGAAACTCTATACTTCATTCAGAACTATAAAGGTTACCTAATAGTATTTTTACCTAATAATAGTTTTGTGTCTTTACATATTTCCTGTCTTCAACATATAACACATACATTGTTACTGGGCTTTGCTTTGCACAGTGCTAAATGCTTACGAACTGATGGTAAATATGCTTTTAAAATAAGAATACGTACAAATATCCAAAGGGACAGTACTTGTCACATACTATGGGTTTGCATTTCTTAGGTCGTGGGTGGCATTGACAGATCTTACAGTTGTGGACGTCAGTCTGGAAACCAAAGTCACAGTCCAAGGAACAATCTGACATGAGATCGGTACATCGCTCCTCTCCTGTGAAAAAACACACAAAGTTTAGCAAAAAGAGGCAACAGTTATTTGTCTCAGAAATTAGAGGCATTCACATGCAGAATTCTCCTCCTCCCTAATCTCCGTACAATGGAATGATTTCTACCCTTATTGCCTAATTATCCTAATTCCAGATTTTAAATATGTCCAAAGTGGCATATTTATATTGTATAATATAAAATATACAATTCGATATCAGCGTAACAAATTCATGAAATGATACATCAATTTTAAACAAATTCAAGGGAAAGACAGTTATGCAAATAATAAAACATACTAATGGGTTTTATTTTGATATTGCCCTGCCCCTGTGCTTTTTCTTGATCATTGTGCTTCCCATTCAGAAGACAGCTAAGCAATAAAAAAAGGGAAAATTCTTAGTACTTTGATTCTAATGATTGGAGATTAACTCTGCTAGTTGGAAAGCTGACCACTACAATATTTTGAGACAAAGAACTTGGTACAACAGGGAGAATATGAAGGACAGTTACACAGTTACAGTTACAGTTCACAAGGACTGTTCATTGTTTAGGAAGAAGTTGGCTTGGAAACCTCATGCAAATAACTTTTTGCAAAGAGTGGAATTTAAGAATAAGAATGCATACGATAAGAATAGGCAAGTTTTAGCCAACAAAATTTGTGAAGTACAGACTCTATGCCTTGCCTGGTGCTATCTCAGAAGTCAACGGTTTTCAGTGTCTCATCTGAATACTGAATACTGCAAGTTATATCCATTGTATGCAAAGTTATTTGAAAAAAAAATCTGACATATTAATAGTATAAAAATTAATGTTTTTCAGTATAGATTTTAAATGTTCCTATGAAAGCATTGTTAAAGAAAGAAACTTTGCTTTCAAGTGATGTTATGCAAAACAGCAACTGCAACAAAAGAGCAAAGTAGACATATTACCCAGTGTTATAAAAAGATAAACAATAACCTTAGATTAATAGAATAATAGCCTGCATTGAGGAAGGCAAAAAGGGAGCAATAATCAGGCTGGAAGATGAGAGCTCAAAGAATTTTGAAGTCAGGTGGAAGCCCACATACAGGGTATTAGATAGGCAATACATAACTTTTTCTTCCCTGAAAAGCTCAGATGGACTGAACTGATAGTAAGATGCTGTAGAATTGGATTAATACTCATCAGTATTCCTTCAAGCCTGAGGCCTGAAAGTGACAATCTTTCAAAAGCACTCTCAAGTTTGAAAAGTGTCAGCTATAATTACATGTTAAAATCTTCCATAATAATTTTAGCTATTATGATAATATTGCTTTTTGGATTTTTTTCAAATGATCCAATGTGTTTCATAGCTTTTGTTCCAATATGTAAAACTGCTACGACAAATCATCTATAATTATTTTTAATCTCTTCAAATATTTAACAAGAAGAAACTGTGTTATAAACAACTTGGTTAACCCATGCAACAAGGATGAGAAAATGTGTGGATAGTGGGAACCTTCATGCTGATTTGGGTGCAAAATTTTTTTAAAAAACTTAAATAATAAAAAAACCTTATCAGAATTTGACAGTTTTCAAATTTATTAAGGATGAATAGCAGTTACTGAATAGGTAGCCATAATTGTTTTTATCAATATATCACTGGCACAGGCATATTAGCTGAACTGTTTTGCATCAATAAATCAGAACTTAAAAACCAATCTGTATTTTAATATGTGGTTTAATGAAGAGGCAGTTCATATAATGAAGATTGTGAAAGTGTTTTGGTCTCTGTGTTGCCCCACTGAAGCTTGACAAAATGGATATCTTTTACCATAACAATAAAAGTAACTGTATTGTGCATGAGCCAACTGAATTTTGAGGGAAAAAAGCAATATGAAATTTAAGAATTTTTTTTATACAAGATAATTGAGTATAGCATTTGTACTTACTAGTTTTGCACTGGCAGATGCGACAACCATTTTGATCTACTTTGAAGTCATAAACACAGTCTGTCTCTTTTAGTGTACAGTTCACCAGAGCAGGACATGTGGGTGGACCTATTGTGATGTAGGTTGGCTCTAGTGAAAAAGGGAACAAATGGTTATGAACTATAAATCTTTGATATACTGTACATAAGAAAGTATATACATAAGAAATACCATATCTATATACTACTAAAACTCTTATGTCTCTCTGTTTGTAACCTTCAATTGGGTGGAAATGGTGCATCATAAGGTAACAATTTTTCAACCAAGATACCTCAAATGGGCTAACTTACAGGATGCATTTACAGAATGCGTCCAAAATCCCATCCCAAAATTTGGCAAATTTCAGCACCGCCACACTGCCGTGGTCAGCCACAGTCAGGTGATCGTCATTTCCAATGCTCCCTGACAGCTTCCCACAAGTCAGTGGGGAAACTGGAAGGAAATCTAAACTTAATCATGACTGCTCCATGCTAGCTCCCCACAAGCAAGTCAGAGGGGAAGCCAGTAGGAAGTTGTAAGTCCAAGACCAGCAGGCAGGTAAGTGACTGCTGCCGGGTGGGGGAGGGAAGGGTGCACAAGAGGTGCTGTGTGGGTTGGGAAGGGTGTGCAGGGGTGTGAGGGGATGCGTGAAAGGTGCCGTGCGGGTCGGGAGGGTGCGGTGCAGTCGGGGATGGTGTGTGTGGGTGCATGGGAGTGCACAAGAGGGAGAGAGGAAGTAACATGGTGGAAGGAAGGGAGGGAGGGAGGGAGGAAGGAAGGAAGGAAGGAAGATTTTTGACACTCCCTGACAGCCTTCCACAAGGAAACTTAATTGGGAAGTCAAAGGTGATCCTGTTCCCACTGCTTTTTTGCCCTTGGTCATTCTGTTTCTCTGTTTAGGTAAGGAAATATCACTTCTGAAATGTGAATCCAATGGGTCACGGGTTGTCTAGTTACATTCTAAAAGTCACTAATGGAAATGTTGCTTGAACAAATTAAAACAGGAATATTTAATTGACCTTTGCTGTAATTTGCTACACTTACTAATTTGCAGAATATCTATGGCATGGGTATATAGACTATTTCTTTAAAGGCCTGAAATGAAACCCTACTTCCTGTTAACTGTACTACTCCTGACACTTCCATCATAGACATAGGTATCATAGGAGTTCTTCTAGATTTAGAACCATTGCTATTAATGGAGACACAAGTAACTTCTATGACATGAGCCCTTTGTCAGATATGGCTGGGTTAACCACTTATGATACTTCCTGTCACGGCTGACTATTGCAATAGCTTGTAAGTAGAGCTGCCTTGAAAAGTGGCTCAGAAGCTGCAACTAATGCATTGGTAAGGTTGCTAACAGAGTTAAAATGCTAGGAACATGTTACACCTGTAGAGTTGCCCTAGTGGCCCACATGCTTCCAAATCAACTTTAAAATACTCGTGTTCATTAATAAAAGCCCAACAGAGTTTACCAATACCAATACTTTAATGGCCAAGTATAAAACATA